CGCGTGCGTGCGTGTGCGCGCGTGCGTGCGTGTGTGTATATGATATACGGTGCATTGATGCAGTGGGGACACCGAGTTTGGAACAGCTGGTGTGAATGTGGGCCGAAGTTAGTTTTTTTTTTTTACTCTGAATGCGTAGTTGTAAAAAGACTTGAACAGTATATTAGTATTACTCACTATTGGGAACGCCTTCGCAGTCATTCGTGTCACGTTCGTGGCAGTCTTGTGTGCCGTTTTCTTTTTAACTGCGACTGTCTAGGTGCGGTGTGTACGATGGCATCTCGGGTGAACGGTGGCGTGTGGTGTCATCGTTGCGTAGGATGGTGTAGGAGGTAGAGCGAGGTAGTGTGCGGGCGGTACGGAGGGTAACACACGTAGTGTAATAGCATGCCGTAATGAATAGCAATGCCTCTACTACTAATCACGGCAGGCGCTTCGTTAACACGTAGAACCTAACTCGTCTTGCATAATGCCTCTTGCTTCCAACGCTAGCCTATCATTAAACACTCCTCTCCCCCTCGCCCCTGCACCATGTAACATCCTCTTTTCCACACAGTTTCAATTCGCGTTTCAATTCGTGGACGTCTATTTTGTTCCGCGATCGCGCGGTCCCACAATGCACCGCGCTTTTCGCGAGATCGGCTCGTCCCCACGGGGGTTGCCCCGCCAGGTGGCGCCGCTTGACGTGGTCGTCGTTGTTTTTTCGGCAGGAACATGTACGAGATGAAGCGATCAACGACGAATCCCGGCACGACGATGGAGATGCCCACGACGCCGCGGCAGCAGAGGTACGCTCGCGCTCTCGCACTCGCTCGTCCGCTAACTTTATCTTTGAACAATGATGAGGATGATCGGACTCGGTGTGCAAAATCTATAAAAAAAAATGCGTTCGGCCTGCGTGCTCTCGCCCTCACTCACTCACTTGCGATTTCAAAGAGTTCCCCTCGCCTCACTGATGACGTATAAGGTTACGGCTGTCGTCAAGGGAAAGACTACGATTAGCGCATGCACGCTCGCTCACTCACTTATTCACTGTGAAATTTATCGTCGGACACCATGACTACGGTGTGCAAAATCTGGGGAAAAAAATGCATTCGGTCTGACAATTTGGAGAAATTTGCAGTGGTGACCATCGCGGGCAGCAGCAGCAGGCAGCAGCTGCTCGCGTGATAAAGCCACGCTCTCTGAGCTTCACCCGTGTGCCTCCCCGCGCGCGCGTATAATTATATACCTCCCTCCCCCGCGCGCGTATATACCTCCCTCCCTCACGTGCGTTACCGTATATACCTCCCTCCCTCGCGTGCGTTACCGTATATACCTCCCTCCCCCCGCGCGCGCGTATATACCTCCCTCCCCCCGCGCGCGTATATACCTCCCTCCTCCGCGCATTCTAACGCATCTTCCCTCGCTGCAGGAGTGATATCGGCGGCGGCGGCGGCGGCGACTCGCAGCAGCAGCAGCAGCAGCAGGCGGCGGCAGCGGGCGTGCTGAAGCCCCGCTCTCTGCGCTTCACGTGGAGCATGAAGACGACGAGCGCGATGGAGCCGGCGGACATGATGCGCGAGATCCGGCAGGTGCTCGACGCCAACAGCTGCGACTACGAGCAGCGCGAGCGCTTCCTGCTCCTCTGCGTGCACGGCGACCCCAACACCGACTCGCTCGTCCAGTGGGAGATGGAGGTGTGCAAGCTGCCGCGGCTGTCGCTCAACGGCGTGCGCTTCAAGCGCATCTCCGGCACGTCGATCGGTTTCAAGAACATCGCTTCGAAGATCGCCAACGAACTGAAGCTGTAGTCGGGCGCGCCACCGCAGCGTGCGCTCGCGATTACAGCGTGTCGCAGCAGGGGGCGCCACCGCAGCGTGCGCTCGCGATTACAGCGTATCGCAGCAGGGGGCGCCACCGCAGCGTGCGCTCGCGATTACAGCGTGTCGCAGCAGGGGGCGCACCGCAGCGTGCGCTCGTGATTACAGCGTATCGCAGCAGGGGGCGCCACCACAGCGCGCGCTCGCGATTACAGCGTCTTGCAGCAGGGCGCGCCACCGCAGCGTGCGCTCGCGATTACAGCGTGTCCCAGCAGGGGGCGCCACCGCAGCGTTTCGCAGCAGGGGGCGCCACCGCAGCGTGCGCTCGCAGCATTTCACAGCAGGGGGGCGCCACCGTGAAACCCGGCTTCGCGCGAGAGGTTCCGCTGGAGCTGCTGGGCACGCGAGCGCGCGGAGAAGAGGTCCTACGTACGACGCGCTCTCCTAGGGGTGGGATCGGCGTCCGAGCGCTGACACGCAGCGGCAGCGCCACCTAGCAGGGAAGGGACGCCGCCCACCCGAGCGCGCTCGTTCTTTTTTATCGTTTAGCGTACGCGTCGATGGTTCGCGTCGCCATCATGGCTAATGTCGGAAGGTGCTGCCGCCGCGGTGTCGTGGCGGCGGTCGTCGTAGCGACCAGATTATTTTGACAGTGAGGGCCCCTTTACTTCTCTTACTGCAGGTGCAGCTGAGTGTGTTTCGTACTAGTCACTGTTAACGGTAAAACGAGGTGAAGGCGCAATCGAAGGAACACCTTTTCCTTGAGGTGTCCATCAGGTGGCGCCGGCAGCAGCTAGGATTCCCCATGCGGGGGGCGTCGGCTGTTGCTTGCGAGCGGGTGCCGTCTGACTTGTATGTGTGTGTGCATGCGCGCGTGCGTGCGTGCGCGCGAGCGCGTGTGTACTGTGCACTCGCGTTTGCCCGTCATTTTTCACGTACGTGTTTGAGTCGGGGCGGCGAAACGAAATGGCGTCGTTCCGCTCTTAGTAAATTAAAAAGTGATTGTATAATTATTTTGAATGTACATAAAAACACGATAAGATGGTTACCTTAAGCTGAATCAGTATCGATGAGCCGTTCGTCTATCGCTATTGTTTTCTCTCCAGTGTGATGTTATACTTACATGAGTGGCGTTGGTCCCTGTAGCATTCATAGCTACTACTGTGAGATGTGAGTGGTGTTGATGTCGATGTCGGTTCGCAGAACTAGAGAGAGCGATCGGGTTTTCACGCATGCAGCACCGCTGTACAGTGCACAGAGTAGGTAGAGACGTGGTTCGCGATGTTTGTATGTTTGTATGAGCACACTATAGCTGCATGGCGGGAGTCGGTCGGCTCTACTCGCACTCGTTCGTACGACGCGACCAATTAATTAATTAGTTAATTGGGCGCGAATCTTCTCCTTGTTCACAGGAAAATCGATGTCGGCGACGCAAATCGTTCAGCGTTGGCGACCGCAAATCGTTTGCGGAATGATTTCGATCACCGATTTCGATTGTGAGGATGCGTAGTGAATATTCAGCGCTGTCCACTACTTGCTGGCTAGGACTGGCTAAGGGTTAGACACTCCTAAGTTGGAGGCTCACGAAGAGAGGAAAGAAGGAGGAGTGGGTAGAGAGAGAGAGAGAGAGAATGAGAAAGGTGGGGAGATTTGCTTCGGTTAGGTGGGCAGTGTGTGAGTTTCGATCAGGCACCGGGGTTTCAGTGTTATCAGAGATGTTTCGTCGATGCAACGAGGTTTTTGTGATTTAAATTTCTGGTTGTGGTTTTGAGGCGAGTCGACACATTTCGTGTTCCGTTTTTCTCGATTGCGTTTCCCTTGGGACACGTTGCACATTACTGACGACCTGGCGAATGTGTTTTGAGACGTAGTACAAACGCATATGTAGGGAAACATGGCAGCACAGCTGACAAGTGAACAGCAACAGGGGCGCCTTCTGACGGCGTGTGTTAGTGTGAAAACCTACCCAGCTTTGTACATTTGTAATAACTAGGAATGGTTTTCTTAAATTTTTTTTATATATGAAGACTACGTGCGTCGGGAGGATTGCGCCGAAATATATATCGAAAAACACACATGAGACGCGTTGGGTTTTTGTAAATATTTGTACAAAAAAAAGAATTACGAGAGCGATGTAATGTGTTAGCCGTGTACAGTTTATTGCAGTGCCTGGCCCCACCTCACAGGGGTCTCGTGCCCCCGTGTCACGAACACAACAGCGCTTCACTGTTAGCTTGTTTCACGATTTCACGACGCACCTACCCGTAATACCGTAATACCTGTGGACACACCCGCGTACGCAGGCGAGCCGTCTGATATGCAGCTGACAGTATCAGAGTCAAGCAACGTACGGACGCACCGTTGTGGAAGCTGGTGGGATGCTAGCCCTCGGCGCGTTCTTAGTCCGCATATAGTTTCTACGCACCTCTTGCTTTAGCAGATTTCGCTGATAGGTAGAGGCAGATGCCTTGCTTGCACGGGTTGTCGTACATCCCTCCCTTCCCCCTTCACTGAGCCCCCCCCTCCCCTCCCC